TGGCAGACGTAGTACTTGTGTCCCGCCATGAATTGACCTCTCACAACATGGGCAAGAGCCCCATGTACCCCTTTGTACCCTGTACCCACGTTCACAATTCTCCACCTTGTACATCATTTGATAAACCTTAAATTTTGGACGAAAATCAGAAGAACACCACGAACTTCACCAGAGAAATCCAGGTCAAAAAACCAGACCATAACCAGCTACGCCATTATACCGCGGCTGCCTACATACTAGGGATGTCAAATGGATAGTTTTGGTTGTGTCTTGATTGGATCATAAATGGGTGAGCACATTTATGACCACTTGACCATTTATGACCCATTTAGCATTTGCTAAATGGGTCACTTCTCAACCACCCATTTACTAAATGGGTGGTTCATCCGTTCATGGGTGACCCAATAACCCATTTAGTTATGATCATGATACTTCTATATATATGTAAGTTTCGGGTATCTACTTGTAAATTTTTAGGGGGTTTTGGCAAACTTTCAGGGGGTTTTCTGCAAACTTTTAGGGGGGTTTTCTGTAAACTTTCAGAGGTTTTTTTGTAAACTTTCAGGGGATTTTATGCAAACTTTTAGGGGGTTTTCTGTAAACTTTCAGTGAGTTTTTTGCAAATTTTAAGGGGGTTTTCTGTAAACTTTCAGGGGGTTTTCTGTAAACTTTCAAGGGGTTTTCTACAAACTTTCAGGGGGTTTTCTGTAAACTTTCAGGGGGTTTTCTATAAATTTTTAGGAGGTTTTTTGCAAACTTTTAGGGGTTTTCTGCAAACTTTCAGGGAATTTTTTGTAAACTTTCAGGGCAGTTTTTGCAAACTTTCAGGGGGTTTTCTTCAAACTTTCAGGGGTTTTCTGCAAACTTTTAGGGGGTTTTCTGTAAACTTTCAGGGGTTTTTTATAAACTTTCAGTGGTTTTCTACAAACTTTTAGGGGGTTTTCTACAAACTTTCAGGGGTTTTCTGTAAATATTTTTTTCTCAATTGAATCGACTATTTAGGAAAATATCTTTTGTGCGTCAATATCTCAACTCACTGATCGCAAATAACACTGGTTCTAATTACTCAAACTAGATTAAAACATAAACATATAACTTTTCCCCTAACTTTCTTCCAAATTCTCGTGCATTCTTCAATATCCATACGTAGCAGAAGTACCTAACCTTAACATTAAATTAAGAATATGAGACGGGTTCCTCCAAAAGGAAAGTCATGTAGGCATCAAAGACCAACTATATATGCAACAGTTAAATCTTGACGAGGTACTGAAAAGATCCCACACACACATATATCTCCTGCCGACGCAGAATTGTGAGCGCCTACTTTTTATATTTATATATCCTTAAGGGTGTTTTTTATAATTTTTAAAAGTTTGAGGGTGTTATTTGCAAATTCGATATTTATAGGGGACTACCGAATTTTTTTAGATTTCATGTGTCATTTGTAAGTTTAGAAAATTCTAAGATTGTTTTGTAGTTTTAAACTCTTGAGGATGTTTTTTGCAATTTTTAAACTTTGAGGGTGCTTTTTGTAAATTATAAATTTACAGGGGGCTGCTAGTAATTTTTAGATTTCATGTGTCATTTGTAGGTTTTGAAATTTCGGGATGGTTTTGTAATTCTAAACTATGGAGGGTGTTTTTCTAAAAATTTAAAACTTGGGTGTTAATTATAAATTTTAAATTTACAGGGGACTATTGAAAATTTTCAGATTTCATGTGTCATTTGTAAGTTTAGAAAACTCTAAGATTGTTTGATAATTTTGAAGTCTTGAGGGTGTTTTTCTTATTTTCTACAACTTTTAAGGGTATTTTTTACAAATTATAAAATTTCAGGGGGCTATTGGTAATTTTTGAATTTCATGTGTCATCTATGAGGTTAGAAAATTTTGAGAGCTTTTTTTATAATTTTTAACTCTTGAGGGCGTTTTTATAATATTTTAAACTTTAAGGGTGTTTTTTACAAATCTTAAAATTTTAAGGAGCTATTAGTCATTTTAAGTGTTTTCTATAATTTTTAACTTTTAAAAATAAGTTTTATAATTGTTAAAACGTTGAGGGTGTTTTTAAAATAATATCATCTAAATGGGCAAATGGCTGGGTAATAACCCGCTCATTAATGACCCATTTATTTTTAATAGAAACTATACCACCCATTTATGACCCATTTAACTAAATGGGTGGGTTTGAATGGTTTATTTGACGGGTGGGTATGGGTGGACAATTGGTTTTGGGTCCATTTTGTCATCTCTATTACGTACCATTCACCGGGATCAAGCAAACCGTAATTCTGTAATTATTCTCCAACATAATCTCCACCTCACCTCCATCACCGCCTCGTAGGACCATGCCCTCTCGGGCAAATCAACACGGGCTGATATGAAGCAAGTCCAAGCAATGCTGGAACTTACTGCCTATGACCACCTTGGTTAATATGTCCGCGGGATTCTCATTCGTATGCACATTCATGAGAGAAATATCTCCTTCCTCTATGACATCCCGCACAAAATGATATCTAACGTCGATATGCTTGGTACGAGCATGGTAAACTTGATTCTTCACCAAATGAATCGCACTTTGACTGTCACACCACAAGTTCACGCTCTCCTGCTCAATCCCCAAATCGTCTAGAAGACCTCACAGCTACAATGCTTCCTTCACTCCCTCCATCATAGCCATGTACTCGGCCTCTGTTGTAGAAAGTACCACTGTAGCCTGCAACATCGATCGTCAACTAACTGGAGCCTCATGTATCTTGAATACATAACCAGTAGTAGATCGTCGTCTATCTAGATCGTCTGCATAATCTGAGTCCACAAACCCGTCGATCTGACATGTATCTTCACCAAAACACAGACCCGTATCCGCGGTACCTTTCAAGTACCTCAGGATCCATTTTACCGCTTCCCAATGCGTCTTTTCCGGATTCGCCATAAACCTGCTGACCACACTAACCACATGTGAAATATCTGGGCGTGTACACACAATTACGTACATTAAGCTGCCAACTGCACTAGCATAGGGAACGCGCTCCATTTGCGCCTTCTCTTCCGCTGTAGTGGGAGATTATTTTCCTGAAAGCCTAAAGTGTGGAGCCAATGGAGTCACCATCGACTTTGCACTTTGCATCCCGAATCTTACGATCACCCGTTCTATGTAGCCCTTCTGACTCAAGAACAATCGCCGATTCGTCCGCTCTCTTCTAATCTCCATACCCAGTATTTTCCTTACAGCGCCCATGTCCCTCATCTCGAACTCTTTACCAAGTTGAGATTTCAGCCTATCTATCTCCACCTTGCTCTTAGAAGCAATAACCATGTCATCCACATACAAAAGAAGATAGATATAATCACCACCACGAAGCTTCCGAATATAGACACAACAGTCATAAATCGCTTCTGGAGAACCCATGCTTTAGCATAAAGGAGTCAAATCGCTTGTACCACTGCCGAGTAGATTACTTCAATCCATATAGTGATTTTCTCAAACGACATACATGATTCTCCTTACCCTTAACCTTGTAACCTTCAGGTTGATGCATATAGATTTCCTCCTCTAAGTCTCCGTGCAAGAAGGTCGTCTTTACATCGAGTTGTTCCAGCTCAAGATCACCATGAGCAACAATACTCAATAGCACCCGAATAGATGTGTGTTTCACCATCGGAGAAAATATCTCATTGTAATCCACACCCTCTTTTTGTGCAAACCCCTTAACCACTAGCCTCGCCTTGTACCTCGTACCACCGAGCTCTGAAGGATCTTCCTTTCTTTTATACAGCCACTTACAACCTATCTATCTCTATCCTGAAAAAAAGCTAGAGTTGGTCAGTTTTTTTTCCTACGGGTAATGAGACCACCTCCCATGTTTGGTTCTTCCGGAGAGATTCCATCTCCTCTTCCATCGCAGCCAACCAATTCTAGCATCTCTATCCTGAATAGCTTCCTTGAAGGAGACCGGCTCATCATCCTCCACCGAGAGTGCGTACTCAACCAAATTAATATGCCCATAGTACTTCAGGGGTTGATCAGCCCCCAGCTTCTGTACCTGCTTGTATGCTCGCCTTGGCCTAATGGAAGCCAAGCTATCCTCGAGCTGCTATTGTTGTAGTGCCTGTGTATTCTCGTGCTGAACCTCCTCCTGCTCAAGCTCATCATCTACCTGATTTCCCACTTGAACACGACTAGAACCTGGTTGGTCTTTAGGTTCTATATCAATAACCTGGGACTTAGAATTCCCAACAGTTTTAACACCATCATCCTTGGGCACCTTAGTAATCATGGACTTCTCATCAAATGTAACGTCCCTGCTGATCACGAACTTCGAATCTTCTGTACATCAAAGGCGATAGCCTTTTACACCCTTTGCATACCCAAAAAAAATTACCTTTTTGGCCTTCGTGTCAAGCTTTCCCTCGTTGACGTGATAGTAGGCGGTACACCCAAAAATTCGGAGCCTCTCATAATCTGCACGCTCCCCTGACCACAGTCGATAGGATGTATCACCGTCCAATGTCGAATGTGGAGATCGATTCACTATATAGCAAGCTGTAACAATCGACTCTGCCCACCATTCTTTATCCAAACCAGCATATGATCGCATACTCACTGCTTTCTCCCGCAGTGTTCGGTTCAGTCTCTCCGCGACCCTTTTTGCTGTGGTATAGATCTAACTGTTCAGTGTCTGGCAATCCCCTCCTGATCACAGAACTCCTTGAAGGCACCATCTGTATACTCTGTATCATTGTCAGATCTCAATGTCTTCAATTTCTTTCCGGTCCTGTTCTTAACCATCGCCTTCCACTTCTTGAATGTCTCAAATACCTCATTCTTATGCTTCAGAAAATAAATCCAAGCATATCTCGAATGATCATCTATGAATGAGACAATATCTGGAATCACCCTTAGAAGTTGTCGAAGCCGGACCCCAAACATCCATGTGCACATAATCTAGTATCTCTCTGCTCTTGTGCTTGCTCCTCAGAAACTGGACCCTGTGCGCCTTTCCATACACACAATCCTCGTAAAAATCCATGTAAGGTTTCTTCAGATTCTTTAGCAAACCCTCTTTACCAAGCAGATCCAGACCCTTCTCTGACATGTGCCCAAGCCATCTATGCTATAACCGTGTGTGCTAACATGGGTCTTTACCATTTCCTTCAGCTCCAACTGCTGCATCTCCCGTCACCGTCGTACCCGAGAGAGTATATAGATTACCGTGACGAACACCCTTCATCACTGTTAGGGAACCTCGAACAACCATTTTCACTCTGTTCTCTGTTACAATCTTGCAACCCCTGGAGTCCAAAGCACCAACTGAAATAAGATTCTTCCGCAAGTCGAGAACGTGCCTTGCATCCGTCAATGTTCGAACCACTCCATCATGCATCTTGATCTTGATATCGCCTAGCCACACCGTTTTACAAGCATGGTTGTTCCTCATCAATACAGTTCCACCATCAATGCTCCTGTAGGTAGTAAACAACTTCCTATTTGGACACATGTGGTAAGAGCAATCAGAATCAAGTATTCACTTCCCGGAGGTATCCTCACCACCCGTGACGATATAGCATTCATTATCGCTTCCTTCCCCTGAAGCGTAGCTCGCCTCTTCCTTGCCTTTTCGTCTTTCAGTCTTGTTGTTGTTCTTCTTCTCATCTACTCTCTTGTTAGGACAATCGACCTTGAAATGCCCAACTTCACCCATTTGAAACACGCTCGTCCCGCAAGAGGTCTCGATTTAGATCTAGACTTTCCTCCCTTGCATTTTCCTCGCTCATTGCCTCTTCCTCTGGCAAACAGTCCCTGAGCTTGTTCCTTGTTACCACCAGTGACCATATCACTAGTTATAATTTTTCGAAGATCATCCGCTAGAAGCGCCGTTCTAGTCTCATCCATCGACAAACTGTCGCTCATAAGCATCAGTGTTTGAACCAGATTCTTATAAGACTTCGACAGAGATAGAAGTAGTAGAAGTGTCTGATCCTCGTCTTCCATTGTCACATTAATGTCTTTCAAATCCGATAAGATCCTATCGAACTTGTTGATGTATTCCCAGATTGATGAACCCTCCTCCATCTTACAAGTATACAATTTAGATTTCAATTAGATCCGATTCGTTAGACTCTTCATCATGAAGGTGCTCTCTAACTTTAACCACACGCCCGCAGCCGTTTTCTCCCCGTCCACCAAGAAAGCTACATCACTTTCAAGGCAAAGGATAATCGACGTCCGTGCTTCCAGATCCAGCTCTTCCCAATCCTCATCAGACATGTCCTTGTGCTTCTTCTCTTTTCTCGCTAAAGCTTTGTGCAATTTCTGCGAAATCAACGAATTTTTTATCTGCATCCTCCAATAAGAAAAATCATTTTTCCCATTGAATTTTCCAATAGAAAAAATCATTGTTTTACTTGTAGACGCTATTCTCCGCTTGTCCGCTTCTCTCAGGAATTTTAACAAATACTTTGTGTTTTACCACATAATAATCAACCACCACCTTAGATCAGTAGCTCAACCACCGCCAATCTGAATAAAGGCTTTGATACCAATTATTGGGCGCAGAGACACGTCCTCACGCCGCGGAAGCGATATCATCTGAGAGATAGCCCTGACTTCTGTTATCACAAAAGCACAAGTCAACCTCTATATTCTTGTTTCTCAAAGAAAACTAGAATAGATAGTAAAATTCTTATTTCTCAAAAGAAACAAGAATCGAAAGTGATATATTTATCAAAGTGAAATATATACTCTTCCTCTCATCAGTTCTAAGACTGAAATATCGAGGGAACCTACAAGCTATGACAACACATAGTAAAAAACGAGACAACAGATTTACGTGGTTCGGCAAACTTACCTACATCCACGGAAGGGGGATTTCACTATGAGGAAAATACCAAACTTTACAAGCTCTCTCTTCCTCACTTCTTTTCTTTTCCTTTCAAGTTTCACACTCACTCAAGAATTTCCCACTTATTTTTCCCACCACACTTTCTTCTTCTCTCTTCCTCTCTATTTATAGGCAAGAGAGAGTGTGGGCAGACCAAGGGAGCATGGGGGCAGTGGTGTGGGTTGTATTGGAGTTCTTTTGAGAGAAAAGAAAGAGTGAGTTGAGAGAGGGGAAGCATGGGCAGCATAGGGAGGCTATGAACATGGTAGAGGTAGTACTTGTGTCCCCCCATGAATTGACCTCTCACAGCATGGGCAAGAGCCCCATGTACCCCTTTGTACCTTGTACCCACGTTCACAGAATCAGATGAATTAAATTCCCAAGAGGATATCCACTTTTTTTTTCCATTTCAGTAAAACATTATAAGTGCTCAAAAAAATCACTACAGTGATATAATCTATCAAATTTAAGCAAAACGATATGAGTAACAGTTCCAATTGAATCCAACAAATTTCCACAGAATTCCCATAATCTTCTTATCACTGTTAGCGTACCTAGGTAAAAGGTTTCAGGAAATGCATAGCCATCAGAGCTGTACATCACCTGAAAGAAATGCACAAGTAAATTAGCAATGATAAAATAGCATCACTATATTACATGTAATGACATAAGTATTGGAATAGCAAGAGTAAATTGCCTTTGAGCATTTTTATGAAGAAAACATGCAACAATTTAAGGAATAATAAAACCAAGCAGTAACTACAAGAAGCAACCAACATTTGGCCAAATAACAACCACACTAGCTGGTTATATGCAGATGTAAAAATGGTGACCCTTCATACACTAAATTTCTGGGTAAATTCAAGGCTTATAGAATGGTTGTTGGATGCAAGAGTGATTTAAAACTCAGCCAATGCAGTTAAATGATAAAAGGAATGTGATGTCCGCATAAGTGAAAACATTTATGTGGAAAATTTTCAAACATAGCTTGACACGCATGTAGAACTTCAAAGGAAAATTATGCTGGAGGAGAATGATTTCCAGAAGCCTATTTGCAACCACAAAATAGGCTCAGCAGATTCTTTCATTATCCATGATGGCTGATCACTCGCCTAGTGTCAGAGCTACATGGTCAATGGGAGTTGATACAACTGAACTAATAGAAGTAGCATGATTCAAAGAAAACTCTAGAGAAAAGAGAAAAAATTGTTGAGTTATTTAGATACATTAAGCTAATTAGTTAATATTGTAAGGGCTTATTTGTAAGAGTACATTAATATAAAGGGTACCTCTCTGTGAGAAAAGAGAACCCTAATCTTTACCCAAGAAAATCTACATGGTATCAGAGCCATGTTGCGGCGCCTCTGGGAGCTGGGCGTGATCGTGATCCTCGTCGTGTGAATCGCGCACAGGGTCGTGTCCTCGAAGAGCCCGACGAAGACGAAGATCAGGACGACGAAGCCCGACGATCCGACGAAGATCTCAAGATCCGACGAGGCTTGCAGCAAGTTCCGACGAGATCCGACGCTGCTGGAGACGAGGGCGACGCAGATCCGACGAGATCTGACTAAGATCTCAAGATCCGAGATCCGACGAAGATCCGACGGCCGATCAGTTTCTTCCGACGCTGCTGGAGACAAGGGCGAAGCTGCTGAAGTTTGCACGATCGTGCTCGAGGAGGCGGAGAAGTCGTTCGTGTCCCAGATTCAGGATTTTGGGAACAGTTCGCTGTGCTAGAAGAAGAAGATGAAGGGGAAGTTTCCAGCGGTTTTTTGGAATCTTTGATTCTCATCAGGTGCTGAAAAGTTGGATTTGGGGGAACAGTTCGATGTGCTAGAAGAAGAAGATGAAGGGGAAGTTTCCAGCTTTTTTTTTTTTTTTGGCATCTTTGATTCTCATCAGGTGCTGAAAAGAGAGATTAGAATGGTAGATTGGTAGAGAAGAAGCTATAAAAACTCAGAGTGGAACTTCCCAAATCGACGAAGGCAATGAATGACTGATTTGGGGGCTTAAAAAAAGTTAGTTTTTTTTTATTTGGGTGTTTTTTTTATTGGAGGGAAGAGAAGACGAAAAAGGGGATCTGTATCAGATGAGCAGGTAGTTTGGTTTGCTACAGTAAAAAAAGGTAAAAAAAGAAAGAAAGAGAGAGGTTCTTGATTTGTAATAGTTTATTTAGGTTTCCTCGACAAGTCAGTCCTAGAACTGATGAGAGAAGAGCTGATATCTCACTTTATTGAGATATCTTGCTTCTTGGTTCTTGTTTTCTTGGTGAAACAGGAATTCTTGTTGATCTATCTATCTTGTTGTACTGTCGAAGTGCTGCCGGAATTTTTTCGTTGCGCACCACAAGAATAGAAGTTGGACCGATGACAAAGACAGAAAAAAATCCGATGGAGGAGATCATCAAGAAGTTGAACAACCTGAGGGTATTCCAGATCGAGAAGAAGATCAGCGCTATAGTCCAGGGAGAGAGGACTGTACAGGAGTACGCCACAGAGCTGGAGCGCTTGTGGCTCGATCACGATCACTTCTCGCCCCTTGCGAGCTGCAAGGACCCTGAGTGCAAGGAGCGTGAGGCCTCTTTGCAGAAGAGGACCATGTTGTTTCTCCGATGTTTGGCTTCAGCGTATGAGCAAAGGACGGCATTGCTACTAACCCAGACGAAGATCCCACCACTGGAGAAGGCAGTCTCGGCCATGATACAGGAGGAGAGTCGTATCAGGCTACGGTCTGAAATAGGTGGACTTACAGGAGAGAAGTCTGCACTGGTGGTATCCAACCCGGATAACACTGGATTCAGAGGGAAGACTAGACAGTGCTTCAACTGCGGAGAGGTAGGGCATCTGAGACAGATGTGTTCTAAGCCACCTAGGGAAAGGAACTGGGGTGAACATGATCAGACTCGTGGCCGTGCAGGTCGAGGAGGCAGGGGGCGTGTAAGCCAAGGAGTTGCTCACCTAGCTGTGGCAGATGAGTCTCAGACTACTGCTGGGATGACTAGAGCTGAAATAACAGAGCTGGAGGAACTACGTCTGTTCAAGCTTCAGGCTGAGAGTTCGAAGGGCAAGGGAAAAGTCACCCAGGATCTGGCTACCACTACATGCTTTGGTAACTTTATTGGTTATGCTCATGCGATCAAAGGTACACAGGTTCAGGCACTTGCATCCACTAAAACTCATGTTGATTGGATCATAGACTCAGGTGCATCTAGGCATGTCACAGGAACATCTAGTGAGTTTGCATTATATTATCCGAGTAAGCATATGCATCCTGAGACAGTTCAGACTGCTGATGGGACATCCCAACCCATCAGGGGTACTGGCTCGGTCCATTGCACTTCATATGTTACCTTGTCATCAGTATTGCATGTTCCTTCGTTTCCAGTTAACTTACTCTCAGTTAGCTCTCTCATTGATCAATTAAATTGCACCGTGTTATTTGATCGAGATTTGTGTGTCTTTCAAGAGAAGGAAACGGGGAGGAGGATTGTGACTGGTATCAGACGTGATGGTCTTTGGTATTTGGACAGGGAGACAGCAATGATTGCTGCTGCTGTTAGCGGAGGGCCAGAGGCAGAAACGATGCTTCAACATTGTCGGTTAGGGCATTTATCTTTTGAGAGTTTAAATAGATTAGAACATGAGTTAATGAAGAAAGTGGATAGAAAAGAGTTATTTTGTAATGCATGTGAACTTGGAAAACATACTCGTTCTACTTATAGAATGATTGGTCTTCGAAGTTGTGAACCATTTGCACTTGTCCATTCTGATGTTTGGGGACCATGTCCTACTACCTCTATCAGTGGTTTTAGATGGTTTGTTACTTTCATTGACTGTTATTCACGTATGACCTGGATATACATGATGAAGCAGAAATCAGAGGTTTACAAATGTTTTCAAGATTTCTCGGCTTATGTGAAGACACAGTTTGGAGTGCAGGTGAAGATTCTTCGAACAGATAATGGGACTGAGTATGTCAATAAGGAGTTTGCAGCTTTCATCTCTAATCAGGGAATTGTTCATCAAACCACCTGCCCAGACACCCCTGCTCAGAATGGGGTGGCTGAGCGTAAGAACAAGCACCTACTGGAAGTGGCACGTTCATTGATGTTGACAATGAATGTGCCTAAGTTTTTATGGAGTGAGGCTGTTATGACAGCAGCTTATTTGATCAACAGGATGCCATCAAGAGTATTAGGGATGAAGACACCATGTGAGATGCTTTTGGGCTCGAATGTTTTTGTTGTTCCACCAAGAGTGTTTGGATGCACATGTTATGTGAGAGATCACAGGTTGATGGTGAGTAAACTGGATCCGCAAGCAGTTAAATGTATCTTTGTTGGCTACTCATCAAGTCAAAAAGGATACAAATGTTGGTGTCCCACTGAAAGAAGGTTGTTTGTCAGTATGGATGTGACTTTTCGGGAGTTTGAACCTTTTTATGGGAAGAAGACGGAGTTGAGTTCCTTGTTTGGAGATGGCTCTACTAATGCTAGTAGAGAGGGGGAGAATGAGAATGAGAATGAGAGTGATATTGTGGTCGGGATGATTCCATGTCCTCTTGAGTCACCGAGTAGTGATGGTACATCGCCGAGTAGTGGTGGTGACTTAGGAGTTGGTAGTCAAAGTCAGGGGGAGCTGAGAGGATACACGAGGAGACAGAAACAGCAGCATGAGCCATCTCCCGTGCCTGTGTCAGTACCCACAAATGTTGATGACCCAAGTCCCTCCTCTCCAGTGCCTTCCTCTTCCTCTCCAGTGCCTTACTCTTCTCCTCCACCTGAGTCGATAGGTAACGATTCCTTCCCTGATACCTCTGATACTCCTGCCTTGCCCCGCAGAACCTCTAGAGTCAATGCTGAAAAACCTCCAGCTAAGTTTGGTAATTGGGATACTGATATTGCGAATTACATTTCATATGCATCCATTCCACCTGCATATAAGTCATTCATTGCATCGTTGCATTCAGTGCCTGTACCTAACAACTGGCAGGTAGCTAAGCAAGATCCTAGGTGGTTGAATGCCATGCACGAGGAACTCCAGGCCTTGAAGAAGAATGACACATGGGAGTTGGTACATTTGCCAGCTGGGAAGCGTGTTGTTAGATGTAAGTGGGTGTATACGGTTAAGCAAACTCCAGAAGGCAAGATCGACAGATACAAGGCCAGATTGGTTGCCAAAGGCTACAGCCAAACATACGGTATTGACTATGACGAGACATTTGCTTCAGTAGCAAAGATGAGTACTGTTAGAGTGTTGGTGTCATGTGCTGCCAACTTTAATTAGCCACTACATCAGCTAGATGTCAATAATGCCTTTTTGCATGGAGATCTTCAAGAGGAGGTATATATGGAGATTCCACCAGGCTTCACTACTTCTCAAGTAGCTGGGAAGGTGTGCAAGTTGAAGAAGTCTTTGTATGGGTTAAAACAGTCTCCGAGGACATGGTTTGATAGATTCAGGTTGGCAGTTTGTGGTATGGGGTACAAGCAGTGCAATAGTGATCATACTGTATTTTACAGGCACTCCAAAACTCGTATCACTATCCTGGCGGTCTATGTTGATGATATTGTAATCACTGGAGATGACGCTGAGAAAATCCTACTGTTGAAGAAGAAATTGGGAGAGGAATTTGAAGTTAAAGATCTGGGGCAGTTGAAGTACTTTCTCGGAATTGAAATTGCAAGGTCGCGAAAGGGTATAGTACTTTCCCAGCGGAAGTATGCTCTAGATCTTCTCTCAGAGACAGGGATGTTGGGGTGCAGAGTTGCATCTACTCCTATCGAGCAGAATCATAAAATGTGTGCCGAGGGTGGTGACCCGGTGAGTAAAGAGCAATATCAAAGATTAGTTGGACGACTTATATATCTATGCCATACGAGACCTGATATTACTCATGCAGTGAGTGTGGTGAGTAGATATATACATGATCCCAGAGAGCAGCATATGGAGGCAGTTCGCAGAATTCTTAGGTACATTAAAGGAAGCCCAGGAAAGGGGTTATGGTTCAGGAGTTCTGGACATCTTAGAATTGAAGGCTATTGTGATGCTGATTGGGCGGGTTGTATGGATGATCGTAGGTCCACTACAGGTTACTGTGTATTTGTTGGTGGCAATCTCGTATCTTCGCGTAGCAAGAAGCAAGATGTGGTGGCTAGGTCTACTGCTGAGGCCGAGTACAGAGCTATGGCAGTTAGTCTGTGCGAGTTGATGTGGGTCAAAAACATACTATCTGAGCTGCGCTTATTTAGAAGAAACTCCTTACAACTTTGGTGTGACAACAAATCGGCGATTAATATTGTAAACAATCCTGTTCAGCATGATCGGACCAAACATGTGGAGATTGATAGGTTCTTTATCAAGGAGCAACTGAATAGAGGAGTTCTGACTTTGAGCTATGTGAAATCAGAAGAGCAGCTAGCTGATTGTTTAACAAAAGGATTAGGTTCTAGAGAGCATGATATCTTTTGTAACAAGATGGGAATGATTGATATCTATCGCCCATCTTGAGGGGGAGTGTTGAGTTATTTAGATATATTAAGCTAATTAGTTAATATTGTAAGGGCTTATTTGTAAGAGTACATTAATATAAAGGGTACCTCTCTGTGAGAAAAGAGAACCCTAATCTTTACCCAAGAAAATCTACAAAAATATTAAGTATATCTTTTTCACAGTGAAAATAAGGCGTGGCATTAACAAATCAGTGAATACAAATGCAAAAAATCACAGCAAAAATACAACGTCAAAAAGTATGATGCTGTAAATACCAAAAAGTCCAAAAATGCAGTTTCAGACTAACCATAAAAGGGAGAGAAAGAAAGGAAGAGGCATACCTTCTTGGTAGGTGCTAATTCTAGAAGCTCTTTGACAGAAGAAATCATCCCTTGGACACTAAGTTTTGGCACCGCCAACCCAAAATCAAGGTAGACCTACTAGTAAAGAAGCAAATAATCATTGAGCATATAAAGTTTATGACAAATTGATTCGTGAAAGAACAGACCTGGGGGTACACAGAAGCAAGATATGATGCTTCTCTGGAAAATGGATAAGATGCATGCAAAAGAACAATTCTACATTTAGAGAACTTTGTATCCTCTAAAACAGAGCGAAGGTGCAGGGGGTTAGATAGCCTCAAGTCCAAGTCCTTGTCTCCAAAACTGAAAATTTTAACCAAATATTAGACCGATATAGTTTTATGGATGAGGAAAAAAGCATTAAATAAACAGTAAGAAAGAAGTTCAGAAATGTGAAAGCAAATAAACAGTAAGAAAGAAGTTCAGAAATGTGAAAGCTTCATATAATTTTGTTACCCTGTGTGAATTTGCATAGGTAAGTTGAAGCTTAAATGTGAAAGCTTCATATAATTTTGTTACCCTGTGTGAATTTGCATAGGTAAGTTGAAGCTTAAAGCAACGTTCAAACTACATGTAAATAAATAGTCGATAAAGCTCTTGTTCTTGATCCGAACAGGCTTCCCAGCTGTAGAAAATAAAATTTGCAACATAAGCATCATGTATTTCAAAAAGCAATAAATACATAACCATACAATGTATTCACCAATCAGGTGTCTCGTACAGCCTTTCTTTGCACGTACCATGTAAATCTTCAAGCAAACCTTCTTCGGCAGCCTTCTTACTGACATCTGTATCAATGTCCAAGCCACTTCTGTATGCTGCTATACTTTTCATGGCAACAATTTTACCAGCGACTGTACCAGACAAGTTCAGGAACTAACAGAAAATGTATTGAAAATAAATAATAGAAAAAAAACAAGTAACTGCATCAATGTTAAGGATATGATTTCATCTTTGCCACAAAAGTTTCAGTGAATGACTCCAGTGAGCATTTTGAACCTTTGAGAATCTCCTGAAAAATTATTCATAAAGTTAAGGTCTATACATCTTCAGACAGTGACAACGGCTATTCAAGAGACCCCGGAAATTGAAGACATTAAGAACCTATTCAGAAAAGATGAGTAATAAAGTGAAGTCACACCTAAAAAATGATGCATACATTTGGAAACATTAAATTTAGTTAATCAATGCATTAAGATATTGGGTTCTTAAGGATTAATGACAAGTACCAGAAGCAACAGACAGTTTTCTACTACCAGTATTCAGTAAGATGGAAAATCTGAGTTACAAATAATTTTCTCAATATCATAAATAATAATAGTGCCTTCTGTAGAAAGCAATTTCACATGAAACCAAATGTTGGAGAACACATAAATACTCCAAAAGATAGATGTGCAACAATTGAAGTTTGAGCTATATCTGGCAATTGGTTAAGGGACAAATAAGGGGATTCGGTCATGCATACCAAAGTGTTCAAGTCAGATGACTGCTTTAAATGGCAGGCCCACCTCTCCAGTTGGGACTATAAATGAGTAGATCATATCAACTTCAAAGAGAATGGGGGGAAAAACTACTTATATCATACTTTTACAATTTGTAGTTGGTTTTCATCGGGACATGGTTCTGATGCCCATGTAACATATCATTTTGTTCATGAAAGAGGATCGTGATTCACAATAGAAAACAACTATTTCTGACATATACCATACTTTTTTGTAATTTGTAGCTGGTTTTCATATGGGACATGGTTCTGATGCGTATGTAACATAACATTTTATACATGAAAGAGGCTGGTAATTTGCAATAGAAAACAACTATCTCTGACATATACCATATTTTTTGTAATTTGTAGCTGGTTTTCATACGGGACATGGTTCTGATGCATATGTAACATAGCATTTTACACATAAAAGAGGCAAGTAATTCGCAATAGAGATAAAATCCCAATAATATCACTCAGTAAATGCATTTTTCACCTCAATTGTCAACTCACAAAAAATGTGTACTGTGTTGAGAATATTAATTAGCTGGTCTATCTCCAATATTTAATGCCAAAGACTTGAGTATTTACATTTTGTATCATAATACAAGGCATATAATACCCCTTTAATTAAAAGAACATGAGACCCATCAATCCAATGCTACATAAGAACTTCGCATCCAATGGGGTCCTTTTTTCACATACACCCTTCTACGACCAAATTTCTAGTGGATTATTTCGCATGGATATGAAGTCTTCAATCCCTCCAGTTTATCAAAATTTACGAGCATCCCACGTTAAATTAAGTTCGATATAGAGGAAAAAATGAATGTCCTTACCACATTGAGGATTGTTTCAGCCAAATGCTCAATCCTCAAGATTCTACCAACGGCAGGAACAACAGACTTGTGCCAATCCCATTCAAGTATTTTATCAAACATAATGCCGTCATCAATGAAGACGGCAGACAAATTTGCAGCCTCGAAACACTTCGAACCAATCGAGTCCAACCCTGAGACCTTTCTGTGTTTTTCAACTCCATCCAAAGATCTCTCACAGCCGTAAAGCTCCGCAATGTCCCTCAAACTTCTCTGCAATTCATGAGACCGAATCACTCCAGCAACAATTCGAGCAAACGACTAAAACTCTTTAAAGAAAAAGTGGTTAATTGCACTTTAATAACACCCTAAACTTTCACCAATTCTCTGGATAACCCAAAGTTTCGCCAAGTTTAACTTTAATAACTCCTTTCTTCTGCTATTTAACCCAAATCCATTTATTCACTTTCCAAAACATAAAAATATTTAACTTTGACATCACACTGTAGCAAAATGTAAACAATATTTTACAGCCAAAACAAAATCCTGAGTTGTGAAGTAATTGGGAGATATTAAAGTAAAAAATTGGTGAAACTTTGAGCTACTCTTGGAAAAAAAATTGAACTTCATATAAAAATTAGAATTCTACGGAAGTTAAGAGCTAAAGTGCAATTAACCGTAGCAAAAAAATCAAGCCATAACGGTAGGTTCATTCGAACGAGGACGAGTGCAAGTACGGTCTCGTCACGTGCACCGCACGTGCGGTCTTGACCGTTCGATCGCCGGTCAAGGGCTCAGATATCATCAAATTTCGAAATCAATAAGAGGAGGAGGAGAGAGGAAGAGAGAGACCTTGAAGGAGAGAGAGTGAGGCGCGAAGGCCAAGGCGTCGCCCTCGGCCTCGGAGAAGAGGCGGAGGAAGGGGAAGGAGGAGTCGAGATCGACGAGATTGTGAGCGTGAGCGTCGATCGCCTTTACGTTGAAGATCGCCTCTCTGAGCTCGCTGTACTCCGCCATTAATCTCTCTCAAGAAATTTCAAGGGTTTTTGTTGAGTTTGACTACGATGAAGCGATGAAGCACTATAGAGGTTAGACCAAGGCTTGTTTATGTTAGACGACAAAAGACGGCACGTTGAAGATATTGTGCATTTAGGAAGTTATCCGATGATCATTCTTGGTATTTATTTATTTTTTTTTTCACTTGGGCTTTTTCAATATTAGTTTATTAAATCTTTCATGTTCCGAAATTAGTTCGTTACTCGTTGGATCTACAACTGGGTCCCTCGATTCTTGAGTTATTTTGTTTGAGATTACTATTAGCTACCCCAATAATCAGAAATTATCTCAAATTAATCCTTCTAATTTTTTTACTTTTACTCTTGTTTGAATGGACTAAATTCAGAATAGCTTAAGAATTAAAGAATCTAACAGCAATTTTAATAAACTGAGGGGCTAGATTTAAATAACTAATGAATTAAGGGGCCTATAGTAACTTATACAATTGGAGGTAGGGGTGAGGGTGGATCAGGCCAGTCCTGACCGATGGACCGACCTGTCGGTTTTGGGTTAGGGCTAGTTCAGACCCGAGCTCGGGCGGGGCTAGTAGGTCAGGACGAGGATTTTGTCCCTGGGTCTGGAGCTGGACCTAGGTGGCCCATAGCCTGCATAGGGTCGTGTCGGGTCTGATTCGACCTACGGCGGTTCGAATTGCGCGTCGGCCCATACTCCTTTTTATGTTCAAAATCCTTTTCTTTTAAATTTTTTTTCTTTTCAGATTTTTTGCTAGATTTGCATGCTTATATAAAGAGCAAAACTAGTAATTTATCTTTTTGAAAGTCTAAACCTTATAAATTTACAATAGGTAGTAGAATTATCTCAAAGGACAAAAGATTCACAATACTTTGAGTATTTTTGGTAAATCAAAATGACTATAAATATTCATTAAAATACTGAATAGAGCTTAGAAAATCTCAATTACTACTAAAATTACAACGCAGACACATAGAGGTTGTATTTTTGAATTGAGTTGATATAAAAATTAAATCAAAATGTACTATCACCGAAGACAAGCTGGGTTGGACATGGGCCGGGGTCAAGTGTGAACTAGGCCTACTTTTTTGTCCGTGCATTTAGAGCGGAATCAGCCCAACCAAGCCGGGGGGCCAAGTTGACCGAGCTAAGATTGGGCCCGCCCACTGTGAGGCCAAGTCTTGGGTATTGACTCAAGACGAGACGGGATCGGTTTGACCCATGCGTTCGAACATGTGCTTAATAGTGAAGTTGGCACATCCCGCTCCAACTCATTCAAAAGGGAGACAACGTTCATATGAGTTGATGGTGCATGGAAGTATACAATCATTTGAATGAGTTGAGTGGGTGTGAGCACTTCACTACAGCATAACTTTTTTGTGGGCTTTGTACAAGCATACCCATTAATCTTTCTATATTATATAATATATTACAATTTTTATATTAATAATATAAATTTAATTTAATTTTTTAATTATATTTTAAAAACATTTTAATATATATATTTTTAAAAAATTATATATATTATTTTAAATAATTTAATAATTATATTCAATTAATAATTTAATATATATTTCAATTATATATTATTATAAATTTATTTTATTATTATATTTAATTTATTAAAATATATTTTATTTTTATTTAATTATTTATCTTATTTTATTATTATCTTAATTTATAATAATTTACATTTTTTTATTATAATATTATTCTTTATATTATTTATAAATTTTATTATTTTATATATAATTTTTATATTATATTCATAAATATATAATTTTTTGATAATATATATATAGTATATATATTTATATATATATATATATATATAATATATATATATGTATATATATATATTATTATATATATATATGATATATAATATTATATATTATAATATGTGTGTGTGTGTGGGGGGGGGGGGGGGGGGGGGGGTGGGGGGAGTCGATCTAGGTGATGCTCAGAATAATCATTCTAAGGAACTGTATGTGGGAAAATTGAAGAAGAAAATAGAGAATTGAATTTATATTATTCTCTCTAACAGACTTAGAAAAAGAATTAATTACAATTCTCTCTAACTGACTTAGAAAAAAATTACAAATATTCTCGATCGGTTTCCTGATTTACAAAAGAGAGAATGGTTGACGGAGATCCTTCCCTTTGTTTAACATGGGTTCTTCTTATTGTCGATGAGATGCTTCCCTCGAAACTCACGTCAAGTTTGCTTCTCGTTGACGATCCGACGTTTCACCTCGCTGGAACGTTGTCTTCGTCTCTTGACTCGAAATCTTGGATGAACTTGCGTAGCAAGTTTGAAACTCAGAACGAGTTTTGAAAGAACTCTTTGAAAGAGTTGATTTATTTAACCGAAATCGGTTTTAAGCCAATGTTGATGAAAGCTCCAAGAACAACTCCGAGGGTCTGAAGATTGCCGAGATCTTTCTTCTGCCAAGAAGCCTTGTGCCGATCTTAATTCTCCAGAAATCCCCTCTAAAGGACCAGGCTTAATTAAGTTGAAATTTTAGCTATTTGTAGGAGATTAAGGGGTATAACCGCTTCCTTGATTTGCTCCTTAATGGGGTATAACTACCCCCTTAATCCGCTCTTAAGTGGGGAAGAAATCCCTCAAATCATAGGGAGAAAATGGTTTCTGGAACCGTTCAGCTCGTGTTTAAACGAGTCAAACGTAATAATTGCGTTCTGGGTACAAATTCTGCATTCTGGACCTGGGACGCAAAGTTGGGCTCTGCATTTGAGCCTAAAAATGTAGCCATGAACTCTGCGTTTGGAGTTTAGAACGCAACTACGAACTCTGTATTTGGAGTCTGGAACGCAGCCACGAACTCTGTGTTTTGAGTCTGGAACGCAGCCACAAACTCTGCGTTTTGAGTCTGGAATGCAGCCACGAACTATGCATTTTTTGTCTGGAACACAGTCACGAACTCTGCATTTTGAGTCTTGAACGCAGCCACGAACTCTACGTTTTGAATCTGGAACGCAGCCACAAACTCTGTGTTTTGTTGTTGGGACGCAGAGATGAACTCTACGTTTTGACTCTGGAATGCAGGGCGAGGGTCAGGTGAACTTGGCGAGCTTCAGGCTAAGTCTAATGTTCAGATGAAGTCCAGTCTTGCAGACAGACTTCAGAATATAACTTGCTGTGAATAACAGATCATAACTTTCAAACCGTAAGTCAGAATTGGACAAATTATATATAAAAATCGACTATCTCGACAAGACAGAGCCAACCAATTGGTTTGGTTTGCTCTTGTGCGTTTCGCCAAATTTCTTATGGTTTGAGAGATATTTGCATTTTGATTTGAAGAGACCGTTAATCTGTAGTCTCGTCATCTTGTAACCTTCGTCTTGGCTCCTTGAAGATATGAGAGTCATCAGATTGTAACTCCCGATGTTAATTATGAAGGCTGTTGAATTAAAGCTTTAATCGGTTATTTTGAAAGTCATCAGATTATAACATTCATTAGTCTACGTGAAAGTTTTTAAATTATAGCCTTCTGGAAGCCGTCAAATTATAACTTCTATCATCGGTTTTTGATGGGGATCAACTATCTGCATTAATTTTTAGATAGCCTACAAGGACGCGGCCTAAAATCACATGATTGAGCTATATTGTGGATGATCCACTCTATTGAACTTGATCTACATATTCTAAAACCCCAACACACTAAGTTTGGGGTGAACCCGTCGTCGTTTGACCCTCTGTCGAGCCATGTAAAAAGTTTTATTCATTCAAAACCGTTAAAATTGATATGAGTGGATGAAGGGCCAAACGACGACGAGTTCACCTCAAACTTGATGTGTTCGGGTTTTAGAATATGTAGATCAAATTCAATGGAGCGGATCATCCATAATGTAGCTTAATCATGTAATTTTAGGCCGCGTCCTTAGATGATTATCTAAGGCGTCACCTTAGGAACACTTCTCTCTCTCTCTCTCTCTCTCTCTCTCTCTCTCTCTCTCTATATATAT